CATACATAATCACGTCACATGTCTCCCAACTATACTAATAATAGCAAAACAGTCAACAAATAATTTAAGGGACCACTCAGTTATCAAAAAAACATTTAAGACCTTATGGATTACAAATCTACAAAACGGATTTACTAGTCAATTCTCCTAATTCAAATAACTAATAATAAAAAATAATAATAAAGAATTTAATATCATAATATGTATATTTAATTGATAAGTATGTTCTTAATAAAATTTAAAATTTTGAATTCAAAATTTATTTATGCTATATAATAATTTTTAATTTTAACATATATAAAGTGAAAAAACTAGAAATCCCCTAGATGTTGATTTGTGATTATGTATCAATTTTAAGCAGAATATAACAATCCCAATCAAACAATCAAGACAAAGAAACACAACGATTTAACGTGGAAAAAACCACAATTGGACACCTCCAACTGTGATCAAAAAAACCACGGGTAACAGCCACAAGAACAATCCACTCAGAAGATTTAAAGGAATTACACAGGTATACTCTCAATTACCTAGCGAATCCACAACGCCTAATTGAACCAACCTCTATGTGCCTCTTCCAACCCCATCTTCACCACGGAATTGTCTTTCTGATGAGCCACTCCGGATTCCACCAAAGCTTCAGGCTCGAAATCTTCAGAATCCACAACTGAAGAATAACTCTCTCTTTTGTGTATAACAAACAAACCTTTGATGTACTCTCTTTAAATCATGAGTTGAAGACTCAATAAAAACATCAAAGAAAAACTAGCAAAATCTCTCCAGATATACACCTTAAGATCCAAAAAATAAGATCTGGAGAAGTCCCCCTAGTGTTGGGAGAAAACCAACTATTTATAGAAAACCAAAGCAATCCTAATTTCAGAAGAAAACCAACTCTAGAATCAAATCTGGAAATCTGGATCGCGCGGTCCGCTCGAGCGCCATTTTCCCCGCTCGAGCGGAGACTACAAATTCTGTGATTTCATACAGGCCCCACGCTCGAGCGTCGGTTTTGCCGCTCGAGCGGCGAATCACACCATCCAGTATTTTTTTGTTGTGACACTTTAAAAAAATTAAAAACTCCTTAGTGTATTTTTCCTCAACGTAACATGTGACACTCCAATATGGCAGACTCAATTTGATTGAATCACTACGTGTCTTCACGTCACGCGCCCAAAAAATTAGTAAGGAATTCACGTTCCACACTACGCGTGTTAAAAACAATCAAACTTTAAAAAGTTATTAGTGCGTTTGTCGAACCACGTAACACACAAACACCCTCCCCCCACATTTTCCATACATAATCACGTCACATGTCTCCCAACTATACTAATAATAGCAAAACAGTCAACAAATAATTTAAGGAACCACTCAGTTATCAAAAAAACATTTAAGACCTTATGGATTACAAATCTACAAAACGGATTTATTAGTCAATTCTCCTAATTCAAATAACTAATAATAAAAAAAAAATAATAAAGAATTTAATATCATAATATGTATATTTAATTGATAAGTATGTTTTTAATAAAATTTAAAATTTTGAATTCAAAATTTATTTATGCTATATAATAATTTTTAATTTTAGCATATATAAAGTTGCTTCGTAATATAAAGAAAATTTTACTAAATCAATTTAAAATTTCACTAATAATAATATGGATAGGTATATATTTTGATTGTGACTTTTCATTAGGGACACATTCCCACATTTGTAACTTTTTTGAAAGACCAGACTTTTCTAGCAAAAGTGACCCATTGGGAAGTTTTGTAACGGCCACAATTTCAACCAAAAAAAACCTTCTTATGTTCGTATCACTTAAAAATTTCACTTAAAACCAAAACAAATCAAATAAAAATAATAATAATAACAATAATAATGACCAATGAGCTATTGGAGAGTAAAGAAATAAGCGTAGACTCTTGAAAGTAAATATCGCTTCCTGTTTAAGGGGATGAGGAGTTGCTATTCTGTCTCAATTTGAGGTGTATTATAAATTTATTTTTATGATTTAAATTGTTTATTTTGTAAGATTTGAGTATTTCAAGCATGTCAAAAAAATCAGATATTAGTAACCAAATGATCAAATTACATTTATTGTAAAAAAATAAACATTAAGGCTCCATTTGATAAGCCTCTCAAATTAGGAGTTTTCTTAAGTGTGCAAGTGCACACCATGTGCCACTTACACAAAAAGTGTAAGTGTAAGGTGTAAGTATAAGTATAAGGTGTAAGTGTAAGGTGTAAGTGTAAGGTGTAAGGTGTAAGTGGGTTGCACATGGTGTGCAATCTCAAAAAAGGTGTAAGTGTAAGGTTTAATTTTTTACAAAAGGTGTAAGTGTAAGGTGTAAGTGTACAGTATAAGGTGTAAGGTGTAAGTTGCACACCATAACCAAACCCCTCAAATTATAGTTTCACCCATTGATTTGAGTGTGGTGTTTGTTTTGAACTTTTAAATCATAATTCTACACTCATTTCTTAAAATTCAATTCAAAACATAATCATTACTTTTCAAAACACATAATTCAAAACTCTTTTCAAAACTCAATTCAAATCAATATTTTAATTTTTTAAATATTTTAAATATTTAAATATTTTAAAAATATTTTAATTTTGTTAAGATTTTAAATATTTTTATATTTAAATATGTTACGATTTTTTTAATTTTTTAATTTTTTGAATATTCTTAAATATTTTAATTTCAAAATATTAGGATTTTAATTTTTTAAAATTTTAAATATTTTATAAAAATAAATTCAAACTCTATTTTATAAAAATATTTTTAAATATTTTAATTTTTTTGTTATGTATTTGGTTACGATTTGAGTGTAGAGTTGTGATTAAATTAAAAATATTAAAATTTTAAATTATTTAAATTTTTTGAATATTTAAATTATTTAAATTTTTACAATTTAAATTTTTTGAATATTTATTTTAATTTTTTACTTATTAAATTTTTTAGATTATTAAAATTATTTAAATATTTATGATTTAAATTTTTTGAATATTTATTTTGAAAAAAAATTATTTCCTTTGTAGTATTTTCAATTAAAAAATTGATTAATGTTATTTTCTATTAATAATAAAAAAATTAATTGAATTTTAAAAAGAGTTTGGTTATTTGTGTTGATTAGAATTTTCAATAGTGTGAAAGTAGTGTGCTTTGTTATGAGTTATAACAATTTGAATTAAGTTTTGAAAACTCTTTTCAAAACTCATAACTAAACAAATTTTCTTACTACACATGTCAAATCAAACTTTCAAAACTCAATTTCATACTCAATTCAAAACTTAATTTAACACTTTATTCAAAAATCATAATCAAACAAATTTTTACACTCAAATCATAATTTCAAAACACACAAACTCAAAATACAACTCATATTCTCAAATCATAGTTAGAAAGTCTTACCAAACGGAGCCTAAGTTTTTCTTTTGAGAAATAGTATCAAAAATATGCAATCCGATCACATAATATGCAATTCGATCACATAATTCTCGATATACGATTAATATAATTTTTGATATGCATGAAATACTCTACAAATTTTACAAAATAAATAGTTCAGATAATAAAAATAAACCCACAATAAGCCCTCGTTTGGGAACAAGCTAATTTAGTAATTTTTTGACTATTTGACTAAAATATGAGCTAAAAAAAACTAGAATGGCTCCGTTTGGGAAGAAAAAAGTCCGGCTTTTTTAGCTAAAATAACCACAAAAAACAAAATTGGCTATTTTAGCCACAAAAAACAAAACATCAAATCCAACCCATAATCATTACAATCCTCTCTCACAAAAAAAGTCAAAAAAGTCAAAAAGTCAAAAAGCCCTTCCCAAACCAGGCTAAAATAGCCAAAAAACCAAAAAGCCAACCCACTTCCTAAACGGAAGCTATGTTTAGGATAACTTTTTAACTTTTTACAAAAAGATGTGCAAAAAGTAGAGACAAAAAAGAATTTTTGACTTTTGTATATAGATTTTTGACTTTTTTTAATAACTTTTTGACTTTTTAACTAAACCGGTCGCTTCCTCAACGAGGCCTAAGTCTCAAATTAAAATACAACCGTTACGGCTGCGCCTTTGCAACCCATACCAATTTAAGGGAATGTTCGATTAACTCGCAACCCCATACCAATTCAAGGAATGTTCGATTTGATAGTAATATCGCTTCCTGTTTAAGGGAATGTTTGATTCACACAAAAATGCAAGGTTAAATTATTTCATCTCAGTGATATTTACAGGTAATTTGATTAAACACATCATATTCTGTGAGTTCGTTAGGTATAATTTCTAGCAAACTAAAAATTGATAATCAAAAATCAAATATTAAAAAAATCTCTCCCATACTTTTCAATTATTAACTTATTTAAATTATTTTTACTTTATAAATTGTAAGGAAAAATTACCCCAAACACTCTTTAACACATTTCCAAAATAAAAAATAAAACTATAAACATCCTCATAATCTGCCCCAAACAGCCTTTGAACCTTGCAATTGCAGCCTTTGAGATTGGCCACAGATGCTTAGTTTGCAAAGCCCCAAAGCAATTGTTAATTCTTGGATTCCAGAACCACCCCCATGTAACTAACATAAACCACACAGCAAATCCCATTGACATTTCTAGTTAAAAAATAATACTAATAAATAAATAATCTAAAGAGAGCAAATTGACTGAAAGTATCAAGAAATCAACTCTATCAGGAAAGCAAATAATCTAAGTGTGTATCTTTCAATTGTCAAACAACTACAAGTTTTACCAAACAAACTACTGCACATATTTGCGGGGAGAGGGGTGTCAGCAAGTTACAACAGCCTATACAAACACATTACTTGTCATCATCCTGCTTTTCCGATAACATCTCTATGTATACCGACCATTAACTACCGACAGCATAAACATTTAAAGCAACTTGGCCTCCAACACCCGAGGCATTTGCATTGACAACATTCCATGCATTTACACTGCCATTCTGCGCATCGACATTGCCATTCTGGGCACTTCGACCAGCACAAACACTTTATGCAGCTTGGTTTCAAACATTCTGGCCATTTAGGTCGCCGAAATTTAATCCTACAGCACCTGTCTGAAGCACTTGTGTTGGCCGTGTTCGACCTCTTTTGTAGACGGAGGTTCTGTCTGATCTTTCTAAGGTGGATTTCTGTTGTTATATTCTCCATTTCTTGGATGAATCTGCATAGATGGCGGATATAATCTGGGTACAGCTCCAAATTGCAGTGTCCACCTCCTTTAATCCACAAGGGTTCGTACGGGTCCCTAGCCATGTTCCACAATCCACTACCATGTAACCAATTTACGACATCATCTTCTGTACCCTGTAAATGTTTGATTGAAACCCATATCAGAAATAAGAGTGAAGAGGCAACTCTAAGAAGGAAAATAAAGAAAACATAAATGCTTATTAAATTCAGGTACAGGAATCCATGGCAAGTATGTGGTGATTTTGTTTCTCGTTTGTTCTTTCTTCTCTTTTCCCCATCATAGAAATACTAAGAATGGCTTGGATTTTGGTGTTTCAAATGAGTAACAAAAAAGAAAAAACTGTATATATCCCAGAGGGGGAAACCAGAGAGAGTGGGAGGTTTTAGGGTCTGTAATTTGAGAACTTGACATTTACTACATGGAAGGTTTCTTTGATCATTTGAATATGGTCAGCACATAGCCACACTTGAAAGGGGGGGGGGGAAAAAAAAAAGGTCCTAATGCTGTTTAAAATATTGAAGCAGACAAATTTGATGCTCAACGGGATAGAGGCTGCAAAATTTTAGAATATGTTCGATTGTAACATGTTAACATAAAAAGCCAGTACCAAGGCGACTGATCAACATGTATTCAAACCTGCATGGGCTTTAATCACAGATATTAGCCAATACAGGAATGGTATTATGAATAATGACGCAAGTTCAAAGAAGAGACACTTCTAGTGAGGAGGAGCCGTGTCCATGTCAAACACGTGTCAGACACCTCAACTCCTCAGAGACTTTTCAGATGTGTTTGACACTTCTTTCAACATGTCAAAATTTAAAATTAAATTTTCATAATTTCAAACACCTTGGCAACACTTCCCAGATACTCTTGGATGCGACTATTGCAGTGAATCTCTTAACAGTAGACAATGCTTGACATTATTTGGAATGCAACTTACGCATCCCAAATATGTTAAAATATTTTTAAAATGAATACATCATGTGCATGATCAATATAAACTGAAGTACACAACGGAAAACTTCTAAGATAAGAGAAATAATGTAATAAAGATTGATAATAAATAAATGTAGTAAGACAGCAAGCAAAAAAATTGCATTTGTTTTATAAATAATATTAGATTACATTTATTTTATAGCATGCATAAAAGGTAGACAAATATATAATATGCTTCCACGTTATGTCCAATTTTTTTAAGATTGTCATACCAATGTCTTCGTTTCATGTATATCAATGTCACATATAATGTCCATGCTATATAGCATGAGGTCAATCATAAACACACAGGCCCTTCTTCAAACTTCAAGACGGTTCAATAACAGACTCTGCAACCCCTTCAAGTATCAAGTATGTGATAGCATGTCAACTTTATGTGTTAGAAAATTTTAAATAATGATAATAAAAAACTTTTGCTCAACTTACTTTATAGAAAACCAAATTCTAACCATAAATCTAGAAATCATGAGGTTCAACACAATATTAAAGTTCAATGGGATTTCTAGATTCAGCAATAATTTGTGATGCAATTACGATGTCAAGAAAGAAGGTTCCCATTAAAACAAAGACGACATCGCTTTAACGACAACAAGCACATAAATAATTTTCTGAGTTTAAGAACATTTTCTAGAAGAAATTCAAGTAATACAAGGCAATAAACAAGAAAATTCGAGAGAAACTATTGACGTTGAAGAAGCATCAACTAAATACTAGATAGCTTGGATTAAATAGAAATGGATAAAACACAACGCCCAATTAGTATACATTAATGTGTGTTTGGGAGGGGACAAATTCAATACACACCTAACATTTGGCATAATACACAAAATGGTGGTCCCAAGACTTGAACCCATAATCTGAAGGTTATTAGGTTAAGACTTAACCATTAAATAGAAATGGATATTTTACAAAATCAAGGGAAGTCAATATTTCGATAATCCTTTTGATCATGTTGGTGATCCTTCGAGTAATTTGACAATGAAGGAGAAGCTGCAGCAATTCAATAAATGTGACATTGAAAATTTTAATTTGATTCCCAACTTTATTCCGTCAATATCATTAATCAGTCAGAGACCAACTAACGGAAAATTTTGAGGTGACAATAAATTTGGGATAACATAATGTAGTTAAAATTTTCGGCACATCTTTTTCTTTGGAAATGATGGTTCAAGAAGCAAACCTGATGATGAGCTCTCTTGTTTTCTTTCCTGGTGAACAGTCTGACGCAAGGCAATTCAATCAGTCCAACCATAAATCATTGATGCAAGCATGATGCATCCAATTTCACTTCTTTAATTTTTGTTTTTAAGGAACACAGATTTTCTTCTTGTACAAAATATTAGTATTTGTGGTCCTAATAGGCTCGTTTGGAAATTGACTCTTTTAGTAGTTTTTTGGCTTTTTATGAAAAGGCATGCATACTTTTTTCCTAGTCTTTCTTTCTATTATCCCCCTCTGAGAGACGCTTCTCCATTGCCAATAGTTTGTTATAATCTACCACGTCAACAAAGCAGACAAACTTGGATCCACCAAAAACTTTCCGGTCGACAACATACTTAATATCCAAAGATCCTCTGTGGTTCTTAATAAAGAGATGCCACTCTAGAAAGCTTCTACACAACTACCAACTTCAAGGTGGGGAAAAATACCCATCATGAAAAAACATTATCTCAAGCTAAATATTGTTTTAATCTGTCTAAAAGTCTCACAAGACCCAATCCCCTCTCCAGATAAGGCTCAAGCTATGTACTTCTCCAAGTTCTATATGAAGAGATGTGCAGAGGGATTAACACTAAATTTCATTTTTTTTCATAGTACGTGGAAACCCAACAATCCATGCACGAGGAAACTATAATTTTCTAACTTTGCTATGGCTGAATCTAGTACCTGCATCTACATTCTTTGGATGACAGCATCGCATCCATGACTGTACCCTTGTCCTAGAAGTTTAATCATGCCAATTATAAAGTTTGACCATGGAGCAACCACAAAGAGAGAAATTTTTCATTCTGATGAATTTTTTGGGGCATTAATTTATTTTCAGTCATGCAGCAAAAAGAAAAGTATCATGATTAACATCAAAACATTGACCATTTATTACATGGTTGAAATTTAAATTCATGATCCACTGTATGCTTTGAGTGAAATTTTATGATTACCATAGAAAAGTATCATGATACCATAGTCATACAGATAATGGATGTATTTATCGATCTTCACCAATTTTTTTATTACCATCAAAACATTGACCAAACAAATCAAATACATATGGATCATTAAAGCATTCAACAAGGAGGAGCTTCTTTATTTCCCAATTGCCAATCATTTAAGCCCCTAAAAGGAGTTGTTAATTCACATGCTATGGGTTTCCCATCAGATGATTTGTGCGGAGGGGGGAAAGGGTAAAAGGGGAATTATTGAAGTTGCATTTCGATAAAATAATAAATAAATAAAACAAGGAAAACAAATCAAAGTACTCAAAGTAAAATAATTCAACACGCCAAGAAGTACTTACATGTATCACCAGCACAGGGCACTTCACCTTCCGAATTTTGTTTACATTCTGTATTAACCAGAAGAATAACAGATTGAGACAGCAGCAGAAACAGTAAAACAGAAAGCATAGCATGGTCACAACCAAGCTCTCAAACACTCAACCAAATTAAAACAAGAGGATATTATTATGCAATCACACACCACAAATACACATAATATAACTAATTTGAAAACTTAAACCAATCCTCAGGTGAAATTAACCCAGATTTATTTCAACTCTTTCTTCAACTTAGCATAGCAGGGATAGAGAAATTTTGATCCCCATCTGACAGAAGACAAAAAAACAATTTGAATACCAAAGGAATTTGAAAGTTTAGCTCAAGTTTCAAGGCATTCCCACAGAACCAGCAAAAATGTGTTTCTCACCTTATAAATGTCAAAGCAAAACGTGAACTTCACATGGCAGACCACACGAAGACCAGAAAGAATGGCACTATGCAAAACTACGCCTCTCAACCTTGGCAATTTGGCTGCTAAGTGCAGTGTTGGTCCACTTCCAACTGACTGTCCGTAGAGAATTAAGTCTTCCTGGCTAACTCCATATTCTGTCTCAAGACACTCATATACCGCCTCTATGTCAGCATACGTATTTGATTCACTTGGCTGGATTACATAAAAAATAAAAGTCAAGCTACCAACCTACTAATGGAATTAAACCATGAGCTTTTTTCATAAAAGCATAAAATAACGACCTAAACCAGAAAAGGTAATCAAATTCGTAAGCCCACTTAGTGGGTTATCAAGGAGAAGGAAGTCCCTCATTTTCTGGGAATGAGAAATTTTTTCAAACCCAAAGATCAACTTAATAAGATGACTCAAAACTATGCATTAAGATCAACAACGGCATTTATCTAAAGCAATGTGACATAAGCTCCCAGAATTAAATTACTCAGAACTCTGAATATTGCATGAATAGACACCAAATTAAGGAAAATCTCATATATTGAAAATAACCAGATGACAACTAAAATTTCCAAATAAATCTAGAATAAATCTAAAATTTCCAAATGCAAAGGCCCAAATAAGTTCTCACACGTCAACAAAGGAATCTAAAATTCTTCCCTATTTTTTGTTATTGCGAAAGGCTTCCAACATCAATTTAGAAACTCAGCTCATTATTTTCTGACTCCCAAATTTATCATTGTGATAAAGGAGAAAGATTTACATAAGATAGAGATTAATACTCAACATTAGATTCTGATACTGGTTGTACAGCAACTGCACATATAAACTACTATTAGCTAAGAGTTGAAGTGAATAGTTCAAAATAAATAAAATGTCATAATACTCAAAACAGAGAATTACAATACCTTGCCTGAAGAGGCTCCATAGCCAGAATAGTCATACCTACATATTAAAAAATTGAGATGGGGAAGATTAAAATGGTACTCATCACTTAAAGAATTGACAGAGCAGAAACACTATTGGAAGAAAAACATAAAAACCATTGCATTGCACACAAACAAAATAAGTGGGAACCCCCCAAAAAATAAAAAAGTAAAAATAAAATAAAAGCATCTGAAAACTCATAGGGTTGGGAGGCTTTTTTTAGGCAATAGCCAATGAGGACAAAATAAAAAAATTGGTTAAAATAGCTGAAAAAATAAAATGTCACATTTAAATTATAATCAATTCACTTCTTCTCTTACAACCATCAAATCAATTAAAAAACAAATCCAATTATCATTTCAAACACTTTTTTTTAATTAGGATAAAATAGTCAAAAAAAGTCAACTAAAATAGTTAAATTCTCAAACCAGCCCAATGTTGGAGATTTGATCAGGAAGGCTCCACCAGAATAAGGACAAGGCAAATCACAATTTTGTGATAAATTTCAAGTCTTTAACAAGACCAAATATTCACAAAAAAAAAAGTGGAGAATGATGAAGAATCCAAGATCCAAAGAGTAAAGCAATATGCCCTAACAGTACAATGTGAAAGTAAGAACAAAACTCCGGATGCCCCAAGACACAATCCCCAAAGAGATAGCACACTGATCTATCTATGCAACACAACAGTAAAAATTCACTTTACATATACAAAGACAATGAAATGAAATATATGTAAAGGTAGACAAAGACTGGTAAGAACAAGAGAAACCTAATCCAACCTACTTTATTTCACTTTTTTGTTCTTGGAAATGAAAAACACTCAGACTAAAAGACATTGAAGCATATATAATAATAAATTAATTAACAGATTCACATATCTAAACTCAACATAACTGTATGTGAAGAAAATCAATCTCAAGTTGAAACCATCACATCATCGAAAGAACCCACAAGATCACAGAAAGAGGAGTAACCCTTTTAAACTTAGAGAGAGAAACAAAAGAAAACAGAGTAGGAGAGAGAGCAAAAAGAGGAGAAATCCAAAAATGTGAGATTTATTAGAAATGTAGGGAGACCCACAACTCAAAAGCCACAATATTTATGAGATTGACCATATAAATGACTAGATAAACAGCTAGAAGAAAACCCAAAACTCAATATACATGAGAAGATCGAAGGAAAAAGCTGACCCAACGAGATTAATAGTAGCAGAGAGTAAAAAAAAAGGGTGAAATGTGAGATTTATTAGAAATGCAGAGAAACCCAAAACTCAAAAGCCACAAAATTCATGAAATTTACCATACCCAAGTAAGATTTTCTAAAAATATCTATATATATGAGAAAATAAATTTGGGGGGGGGGGGGGAAGAAGAAGAAGACCAACAAGAAGAGAAGAAGAAGAAAGCAGACCCAATGAGATTGACTCTGAGATTGGCTTTGAGCTGAACAAAGAGGTCGTAGAGCTGGCCAAGATCAGCAGCATTGCCGTGAGAGTAGAGAAGAGTGAGGCGAGCATAAGGGTTTTTGAGATAGAAAGCGACGATCTTGTTCCCAGATTTGGTGTCAAGCAACAAGACATCGAGGGAAGTGTCGTCGCCGATGGGGACGGACATGGAAGAGGCCGTGGAGACCGCCGTGAGCTTGCCGGAGGAGGACTTTTTGACGGCATAGGTAGCCGGAGAGGGAGGGAAGAAGGCGAATTTGGACGCCAGCTGAGATATGAGACAACCCATTCACCACCGCCCCTACAAGAACACTCAAGACCCAACTCATGAATGCATGTGTATATCTCTGTAGAGAGAGAGAGAGAGAGAGGATGGGGTTTCTGGGTTTGTTTGGAATGGGGAACAATGGGTGTGAGAGAGAGTCTGATGTTGAAGGGTTTTAAGAAATGAGATGGGGTTGTGATGAGAGAGAGAGAGAGAGAGAGAGAGAGAGTTGCAGAGAGAGAGAGAGGGTTAGTTTATTTTAGGGTTTTGGAGTCTGTCTAGCTAAATCCGCGTAAGTTTCATGTTATCAGGGAGATAGATAGATAGAGAGAGAGAGAGAGAGAGAGTTGCAGGTGGCGTAGCGTGGTGTTGTGTGTTGGGTAGAGACTGAGGTGGCCACAGAGAGAGAGAGAGTGTGTGTGGGGAGGGGGGAGACTGGAGTGGTTGTCCTGTTTTTGTTTGGGAATAGAATATTTCAGTTTATTATTTAAATTTTCATTATTATTTTAGTTTAATTAAAAAAAGGGCCGTGCTAAGTTCCCTAATTTAGGCCAAGTTTAATAAGATTAACTTTTTATTAAATATGAGTTAGATTTGGGTTGAGCTTGAAATGATGTGTTAGAGAGGTGATATGATTTAAATAAGATGATGTGACTTAAATAGGATAGTGACTTTTTGACCTTTTGAATTTTTTGGAGAATGCCAAACTTGGCCTTAGAGAGCCCTAATCTCCCGAAAATTGAAACCAAGGCAAAAAAATATATATATATTTTCCCAAAACAACGTCGTTTTGGGGATTAAGAGGATTAGGGGGAGCTTTTTTAAGGCTCCAAATCATTTCCCTTAAAAAAATATGTTTAGAATGATAATTATTTTTTAAATTAATTTGATAACTATGAGAAAATAAAATAAAATAATTACCAATTTGATATGATATTTTATTTTATTTTTTTCACTATTTTAATATATTTTGGATTGGTTTGGAAAATTATTATTTTAATTAATATTTTAACTATTTTAAGTTGATTAAAAAATAGTTGACTTTTTTATAATTGATTTGATAGTAGTAAGAAAAACATTAAAATTATTAAGATTTAGATATGACATTTTATTTTGGCCTCGTTTGGAAAGTTGACTATTTTAGTAGGTTATTTTAATTTTTGACTATTTTAATAGACTAAAATATTTATATTTAGAAAGATAATTAGTTTTTTTTATAACTTGATATGATATTTGCGAGAGGAAAAGTAAATAATTATACATTTAATGTGATATTTTATTTTGTTAATTATTTTAACCTATTTTATTTTATTTTTTATTTTTTTATTTGTAAATTTTGACCAAAAAAATTCCAAACCCAACTTGTGAAACAGGGTCATTGTTTATTTTAACTTTTAAATTTTTATTGATTATTTTAGCCAAACACCTTCATTTTTATTAACTAGCCAAAATAATCTCTAGGGCAAACAAGGCCATAATTTTTTCCTCCAAACCCTTTGAAATAACCAATAAAATTTACACCTTTGTTTTTTGAACTCAAGCTTTTGTTTCGGAAGAATTTTTTAACCTAAATTTTTATTTATTTTAATTTGATTAAAAAAGTTTTGCTTGAGATAAATTTTATAGTTTTGTGAGAGAAAAAATAAAATAATTATTATTTAGATGAGACATTTTATCTTAGGGTAAATTACATTTACCTCCTCTGAAATTTCTAACAAATACAAGGACCTCCCATGTGGTTTGAATAATTACAGTAACCTCCCATGATTTACCTGATAATGTCAAGATTTCACCTTCTGTGAAATTGTTCCAAACGGTATTACTTTTTCTATGATAAATTACCTTATTGCCCTTTCTTTTAAAATATTAAAAAATGTTTTTAGATTGGAGGACGGGTTTGGAAGAAACAAACAGTGTTTGGAACAGTATTTTTGGATTTATTTTTTAAAAATATAAAAAAATGTTTTAAAAAAATTATTTTAAGTATATAATTTTTATTTAAATATTTTATTTTATTTTGTAAATATTTTAATTTTTTAAATTTTAATATTTTAAACTCAAAACATAACTTCACACTCAAATTGTAACTAAACACAACTCAAAACTTAATTCAAAAACTATTTTAAAACATAACTCAAAACTCAATTCAAAAACTATTTTCAAAACTCATAACTAAATACATAACTCGAAACTTCACACTCCTTTCAAAACTCCACACTCAAATGATACTCAAACACATTGCAAAAAAAATTAAAATATTTAAAAACATATTTATAAAATAATAAAATATTTAAAATAAAAATCACAAATTTAAAATAAAAAATATATTTTTTTTTAATTTATAAGTTTGTATTTTTTTAAGTTTGTGTTTGGTTATGAGTTTTAAAAATAATTTTTGAATTGAGTTTTGAGTTATGTATTTGGTTAAGACTCTGAGTTTTGAAAAAAAAAATTTGAAAATTTCTAATTGGAATTGTGATTCTAAAAGAGAACCCAACATGTTTATAAAAAAAATCTTTTTTCAGAACATGTTTTTACTCAAAACTCAATTCAAAAATTATTTTCAAAACTCTTAACCAAACACAAACTTAAAACTCAATTCAAAACTCAAAACTCTTTTCAAAACTCAAAATCAAACTTTTTCAAAAACTCTATTTTAAAAAGAAAAAAATTCAAAAAAAAATTATTTTTAGAATCATGATTTAAATGTGGAGTCGTATTTTGAGTTATGAGTTTTGAAAAGAAAAAATTTGTTTGGTTATAAATTTTGAAATTTTTTGAACTTAATTTTTTAGGATAAATATTTTATATTTTCAATGTTTATTTATTTATTTTAATGTGCATTATATTTCATACATCTATGTGTTGTATTTTTTAAAATATTTTAAATATTAAAAAATTTATTTTTTATTTTAAATATATAGTTTTTATTTTAGATATTTTATTTTATTTTATAAATATATTTTTTAATATTTTAATTTTTTTTGTTATGCGTTTGGTTACGATATGAGTATAAGTTTTGAAAGTAGTGTGGAGTGTCGAGTTATGTGTTTGGTTATGAGATTTGAAAATAATTTTTGAATTGAGTTTTGAGTTACGTGTTTGGTTACGATTTGAGTGTGAAGTTGTGTTTTGAGTAGGGCTGGGCATAGGGTTATCCGACCCGCACAAACCGCCCTACCCGACCCTACCCGCACGTGTATGGGCGGTTTCGCAAAGTGAATAGGGTAGGGTGCGGTTTGAAATATATAAGATTTGCGGGTTGCGGGCGGGTTGCGGGTTTGGACCGCACCCGAAAATAAAAATAATAATTTTTTTTAAATATTTTAAAAAAATAAATCCAAAAATATTGTTCAAAACACTGTTTGTTTCTTCCAAACATGTCCTCCAATCCAAAAATATTTTTTAACATTTTAAAAGAAAGGGCAATAAGGTAATTTACCATAAAAAAAGTAACACCGTCTAGAACAATTTGACAGAATGGAAGAATCTTGACATTGTCAAATAAAGCAGAAGAAATTATTGTAATTATTCAAATTACAAAAAAAGTCCATATATTTGTCAGAAACCCTCAAAGGAGTATCTTTTTAATTTTTTAATTTTTTTTTTTCAGTAAACTAATCCTAACTATCTTGTCATATTTTAATATTTTTTTCAAAACTTCCCTGGTATACCTTCTATTTTACCATCTTATTCAATAAATTTTAGAAATAAAAAATTATGCGAACCTAACCTGCTAGTTAGAGCATCCACAATGGATATATTAACGTGTTTATTAGTGTCAGTTGTCAAATTTTGGCTAGCAGTGGTTTGTGTTTGGGACTGCAATGGAGTTGTTAGTGCGTGTGTTAGTGGGCTTCGTTAGCATCAGTTGTTAAATGGTTTGTTAACTGCGGCTAGCACTTTAGCTAGCACAGGAAGTGTTTTTTTTGTCTTTCAGGTTGACCGGCCGATTGACCTAGTCAACAGATTTTTTTTTTTTTTTTACTTGTTGGGATTTTTTTTTTTTGGACTTAAAATTTAATTTTGGACTTAAAATTTTTTATTAAACTAAATTATTTATGTATTTTATTTATTATATACACATACATATATATATATATATATATTTAACACACCCCTTAACACATCCATTGCACCATCACTCACTCTCTAAAATTAACAAACTCTTAGCACATCTTAACAAATATTTTTGGGCCCCACTTTTATCACTTTTTGTCATATAACACACACTTTAACAAATAATTTTGGCTATCCCATTGTGAATGCCCTTAGAGCTCGTTTGGTAAGTTAGATTTGGAGTTTTTTTTTTTTGTCAAAATAATCACAAAAAAATAAAATAAGTTTTTTAGTCTAATAAAACAAAACATCACATTCAAAACATAATCATTACATTCATTCTCTCACAAAAGTCAAAAAACTCAAAAAGCACATCCCAAACGAGATTTTTTAACCCAGGCTAAAATAGTCAAAAAGTTAAAAAGTTAAAAAGTCAACTCACTTTTCAAACGAAGTCTTAGGGATTGTTAGGAATGATTTAAATAAGTGTACTTTTTGACTTTTTACAAAAAACGTGAAATATGGGTTGGGTTTGAAGTGATATAATAGAGAGATGATGTGATTTAAATGAGATAATATGACTTAAATAAGATAGTAATTTTTTGACATTTTAAATTTTTTGTATTATGCCAAACTAGGCCTTAATGAGTTGGTTAGTGGTATGGATTCGTTTGAGAAATATATTAGTTTTTTAACTTTTTAATTATTTTAATTTAAGTCTAAAAAATCTCATTTTTATGATAGAAAAAATAAAATGATTATAATTTAAATGTGATATTTTGTTTTATTGAATTTTTAACTTATTTTATTTTTAGATAATCACTCCAACTCCCACTCCCCAACCACCAGTAGCGCCATCACCTACGTCACTCTTAGATCATTTCTCTGCTACCTTCTAAGCTCCGACGACGCGTCTCAGTTCATCTTCACCGACCACCACGACCTCCATCCCCATCTCCAGCTCCGTCCCATCTCCACCTACTGTTGTGTCATACACACACACACACACACGCGCGAGATCGAAATCACAACCATAGAGGTTCAGCAATGGCGGTGACCCACCGTCCTTGCATGATCTTACAACTATCACTACTTGCGATCTCTCTAGATTCAATTCAGTAATCCAAGTCCGAACCACCACCATTTGTTCGATGGTCTACATTCGAACTACCACTATTTGTTCGGTACTCATTTTCCTGATGATTTCAAATGAAGCGGAATTGAATACGAGCAAGGCAGATGAGGGCTCTAAGGTAGTTGTGTGGGTAGGAATGGCAATGGGGTGGATATTAATTCCCCATCCCCATTCCCCTATAATAAATTTTCCCCATTCCCCATGGGTACCACCCTCCCCATT